TTTTTAAAAAAAAAATGTAAAAAAAATTTTTTTTTTTTAAAAAAAAACTAATTTTTTGTTCAATTTATAGTTTCTCAAAAATTTTTGGTACGGAAAGTTCCAGCAATTTGCCTTAAGGCACGATGCCCTAATTGCCTTAAGACAGAATTCCACTTACAGCTAGTTATAAATAAAATTGAGATTCATTAAAACCTTCTTCATTTTTATTTCATGCCTCGAAGATTTGCTTATTCTAAAGAATCTGCTTGTTTGCATGCTTTATTTTTTGTAAAGGTTTTGTATGGCATTCCTTGGTAATTGCTATTGTTTTTCTGTGTTATATTTATTTTACATAAAAGAATCAAAACAATAAAAATCAATTTCTTGAAAACGAAAGCTTCTAAGATTGCATCATTCGTGTTTTGTATGTTCATTACATCTTTCTAGAGGTTTATTTAAAAATATGGATTTTGACACGGTAATACTATGGTATTTAAATCTATGCTTGAAAAATTGAGTAAGTAAATTATTAATATTTATTTAATATTTAAATTGACAAAATGATTAATGATGAAACTTAAAGGTAACCTATTTTTTATAATTTTGAATGAATTGGTAAATTTGTTTCGAAGCACATTTTATAACAATGACAAATATTTTGACTAATAAAAATCGATTATTAGTCAAAAATGATAATAATCCTGATAGAGATGTAAATCCTAAAAACAAAGTTTATTTCTATTATACTATCATATATAGTGAGCGCCAACTTTCTGGGACAAATTCCTCCAGAAGTGTACTACATTGTAAAATCGTACATATGCAAAAGCAACCTCCGAGAGGAAATTGAACTCTTACTTACTTCATTTTGTATATGCATGATCTATTCTATTTGAGAAATTTGTCTGTTTTATATCTCGATGCGGTCCAGCTTCTCTCTACATTGCTGCTAAGGGGAGATTGCGATAATAGGGTAATAGAAAAGATATGAAACCACTCGACGGACGTTGCGCATAGCAGATGTGTACATAGGACTGTGTACAGTTGGGTTGGATTGACAATATCAAACCTCGCTACGAACAATTTTACATAATTTTGTGGTAACGAATGTGCTTAAATAATAATATATCAAAAAAAACATACAAGCATGACAAGGACAATAAAAAGCTTTTAGTACATGCACCTGAGAATAATAATTGTTACATATAGTATTTGCCCGATTGATTGTATATGATTGTGTTGGGTTGATCGAGAGGTTTGTATTGATTTTATTATGTTGTTTATTTGTCTGTCCGTTAACGTCCTAAACCAATAAACAGTTTAATAAATATTGAAAGCTGATTATTAGTATCGGCAAATGTGCTCCCTTGAATCAATCAGATATTCTGCTATACTGTTTTCATAGTACAAAAAATATATTACTCAAAAAATTACTTCTAGTGATATAATAAGGTTTACCTTTAAAAACTAGGAAAGATTAGTTTTTATTATTGCATATTCTTCAAAAAAACTTGATTTGAATACATGATTCGAATCAACTTGATTCTACCTTGTATATGAATAAGCTCAATTGATGTACTTGTTTAGTAAATGTGACAAAAATGTATGATGAAATGTGTTGAGTTTGACCAATACATTCTATTAATTAAAGACTTTAAAATTAAATTACTGACAAAGAAATATATTTGTTCAGAAGTTTAGGCTTACGCTTGAATTCGGTTTATGCGGTTAACTCGAATGATTCGGTTCAATTCGAATCATGCGAGTAACTCGAATAATTCGGTTCAACTTGAAACATGCGAGTAACTCGAATAATTTGGTTCAACTTGAAACATGCGAGTAACTCGAATAATTCGATTCAACTTGAAGCATGCGAGTAACTCGAATGATTCGATTCAACTCGAATGATCCGATTCAGCTTGAAACATGCGAGTAACTCGAATGATTCGATTCAACTCGAATGATTCCGTTCAGCTTGAAACATGCGAGTAACTCAGATGATTCGATTCAACTTGAGACATGCGAGTAACTCGAATGATTCGATTCAACTCGAATGATTCCGTTCAGCTTGAAACATGCGAGTAACTCAAATGATTCTATTCACCTCGAATGATTCGATTCAACTCGAATGATTCCGTTCAGCTTGAATGATTCGGTTAGACTGGAATTATGTGAGTAACTCTAATGATTCGGTTCAACTCGAATCATGCGAGTAATTAAAATGATTCGTATCTACTCGAATAATTCGAATTTGTTTCAGCTCAAAACATGCTAGTAACTCGAATGTTTCGGTTCAATTTCAATGATTCGTTCAACCAGAAATTTGCGAGTAACTCGAATGAGCAGATTACATCTGGGTGGCTCGCATGATTTTTTTTTGATTACTTTTATTTTTTATGCTTAATAAAATTTGTGCTTTTAATTTAAAATAAAATACTATTCGAATCAGGTTATTGACAGTTTAATCGAATAATTCGAGTCACTTGATTCGAGATGGCACATCCCTAATATATATATATATATATATATATATATATATATATATACTGATGCTGAATATGCAAAATGCATTCTTAATTAACATACTGCGATATGCAAATTAATATCGGATCAAAAAAATCTACTCTTGAAGTGCAGTATGGAATTTAATATTGCATGTAGGATGCTGAAAAACTTTAGCTCTTTCATTTTTTTCCATTTTTTTGTTATTCAACTATATTTAATGTGTGTATGCTGTTAAGTGATAAGGGTTAGTAATTTTTAAATATAACTATATTTACTTAACAAAATGAATCTTTCTGTTGATTTAGGGCACTAAAATTAATTATGCACAACCTTTATTTGTAATGGCAAAGTGGTGTGTTATACTAAATATATGCCAGAGGTTACTTCAAAATAAATTCTACATAAAGCTTTTTGTCTTGTGAAACTGATTGATGACGACCAAAGCAAATATTTATAAATGCCCGAAGTAATGCATGTTTGAATGTAAATATCTCTATGGTAAAAATGATTTCGGTTAATATAACAGTCGCAGAAACAAACATCTAACCTATATATATATATATATATATATATATATATATACATACATATGTATACTTTAGGAATACCGGCGCCAGGTCAAAATTGCAAATAGTGCAGAATGATACATCAGTTACCTCGTATAAAACGAAACGTTTCTGATAAATCGCATAAAAATTTGAAGTGAAATAGAAACTTTATTTGCAGCATTCACGGCAATACGAACAAATACTTTTTTATTAGCGAAACCTCGGTTCGCTGGCAATATATTTCAGGCACCGCATCGGCTTGAGTTATGCCCTACTTCCGATTCCGCACTTCTGGAAACAGATAAATCATAATTCGGCCGTAGCTCCGCAAAAGTATATCACTGTTCGCATTTATATATTTAAGATTCGACCGTCCGTTCCTTCGCATCGCTCGGACTTTTGTTAACTTTTGTATTTCGCCCTTAGATAGATCGCTTGCTCAGGCGAAAGCATCAAATAATATATCCATGCCTGATATTGTATTACAAAAAGTTCATAAATATTGTATTTTGATATATCGCGCTAGAAAACAGAAATGAAATTTAGCAGGAAAATCGACTTACTTTTCGTATAACTGAAGTGTAAGTTTTGTATATGATTTATTTTTTTATAGGAGTGGCTAGGAATTTTCCACTTGAAGGTTTGATATAAATTATGTTATATATAATCTAATCTAAAACAAGTGGTGCCTTAAAGCAAAAAATTGGATTTTTTAACTTATTTTTGCTTTTCCAAAATTTTATAAAATGTTTGTTACGTCAATACAAATAATATATTTTTTGAATCATTCAAATCATTCCAATTGAACGCTCCGTTCTCTCAAAAATTGAATTGCCATTTTGTGTACTTTTTGCCTCGTATCTTCGATACGGTTGGACCTGACTTTGCCTAAATCTAATCAGCATATTTCGCCATCAATACAAATTGAATAGTTTTTGTATTATTCTATTCGTGTTCCCAAAGTCGTAACCGAAAATTTGTATCCGCACTCACACACATACATCATTTCTTTCTAAGGTATGCCAAAATGTTTTTGTATTATTCTATTCGTGTTCCCAAAATCGTCGACAAAAATTTGAATCCGCACTAGCACATTTCTTTCTAAAATGTGCCAAAATGTTTAAGAACCTTGGAAACGTAGAGACATATATTTTTTTTTATTATCGTTTCTTTGCGATTTCTATAACTTATTTTATGAAATTTCCAAATAATGTATTCAACCGACCTATTTATGAAATAAAATATTTATAAAATGAATATATATGACAGCAGAAATTTTGATTTATTAACATAAAATATTTTGATAGATTTGTTTATAATCATTTATGTTAATTATACGTACTCGCACTAAAGATAAATCGAATCGTAACTACAAAGTTATTTTTTGAACATAAATAATTCTTCTTTTAATTGAACGAGTATTTTTATATTTAATGCATATGCTGAATATTTAAATATAATATACAAAGTAAAATGTAAATGATAAATTTTAAATATATACATATTTGTTGAAATCGTTGATAATAAGCCTTTATTGTTTTTATTTATTGTTAAGTATTTATTTCATCAAATTATTAAGTGCGAAGAAATTTTATCCTTCACTATAAAATTATATTAATTGTACAAAAGAAATAAAATTACTTGTATGGTGCAAAATGCCACATCATGAAATCTTATATTCACAAGTCGATAGTTTCACAATTTAGCATTCATAAATCCTTTGTGTATGTTTAGTATGTGTGATCATGTATAAACGGTATTACATTCATATTAATGAATACATTAACTATCATTTATAATATATACGTCTACATGAAAGGCACATTTTATGAACCATTAGCATAAAATATAATGAAACTAATGCTCTAAAATGCAAAAAATATCCGACGTGCGCATTAAAAAAATAATGCAACGTCCTCGTTTCATTATTTTTCGCTATAATACACAGTATTTATAATCATGACTTACCCATCAAACTGCACACAAATATTCCATAAAACTGAATGTTTTGCCACAATTCGGCATGGAAATTAATTAAAATAACAATTTGCCGATATGGTTATAACCTGAGTCATCGCGGGGTCATAAAGGTGTCGACATTATGATAAATTAAGATAGCGAATGTTCGATGTCAGCGTTTCTTAATATGTATTTTTATGTATAGCGAGGGTGCCTTTCGTTATTATTTCCGACCCGCAAATGTTTTCTCGTTTTCATTAATATTTTCATTCCGTTCCTCTTAGAAATGCGGAGCCGGCCGAGCCATTTCAACTTTGTATAGGCACATTGACGTTCGATGTCTTTGTAGATCTTTTACGTTTCATATTTATTGTGGAAATGAAGATAGACTATTTAAATGTAATTGCTTTATTATTAATTCGTGATTTCATTTTGATCCAGCTTCATAGTTTAAATACAGTATCGAATTTTGGACGGTTTATTAACTTTTCGAATTGTTCGCAAAAACAAAAATATTACTTTTATGGAATATTAATGAATATTGTACTAGAAGAAACTGTGTACGGTCGTCACAGCTAAACTATACTGATTTTGAGATAGGGTCCGAAGGGAGAAGATGAAGTAAGTTTGTTCGAACAAGTTCACATTATTGCTTTCAGTCATGCCTACATATATATTGCATTAACATGATATATAGACCGCATTACATTTAAAATGCCAAGAGTAAATTTTTTCCTCGATTTATTTTAATAATAACTAATAATTTATTTTCTCCCAGCTAAGTAGTAACATAACAAAATTATCGCTGATCAAAAAAAGTGGCACGACCGTACCCAGTCTCCCCTATATTATTTTAGTAATATATATATATATATATATATATATATATATATATATAATATATATATTATATATATATACATATATATATACATATATATATATATATTATATATATATATATATATATATACATATATATATATATACAGTAGGGCATAAAGATCCGCGGGTAAAAAGATTCACCAAAAACTATGGTATTTTTAACGATACTATTTATTAAATAAGTATTGTTCATTTTGAATAAATTTTGTTAAAATGTATTTATAAAAATTCTAACGGTGGTCGATATGATCGACTGATTAAAAGTCGCAAATAAATAAATAAAAAATGATACTATTTTAAAGTAGAGAAAAAATATGTATAACCAGCTATTGCCTTATATCGGGCGACCTCTATATGAGGAGATAAATGACCGCATTGTAAATTTTTTAACAGAAATATTTTTTTCATTGTTAGTTTCTTTCGTTTTGAGCGGTGTTATTTAGTTCACAAAACATTATAATTTTTATTTTAATTATATTATAGATGCTTAGATAGATGATAGATGATATATATATATATATATATTATATATATATATATATGCATATGTATATACAGCAAGTAAAAATTGAAATTATTGGTAAAAGTACTAATAAAAAAATTTAACATTATTATAAACTAATCGTAAAAGTTTATAAATGTTTTAGGGTATTTGAATTTATCTGCACTCGCGGTTTATCATATATTTTCAATTTTATCTATAATGTTTCAATGTTAATTATTTTGTATTGTTGCAATATTTATATAATTGATTTATTTATATCAATACATACGAATTATTACCAAACTTTTCCGTTACAATATTGCCTCGTTCATTGCTTATCTTTACATAAATATATTTGCTTATTGATATATCATTTATTTCCATATTTGTATGTGGTATTTGTCTTGTAAATTAAGTTAATTGATAATTTGGACTTCACGTAAAATAGATGAATGAAAAGCATAGCATTGAAATTCTTCAAAAATAAAGGTCATTATTTTTAATATATAATATTGCTATATACTAATATATAAAAAGATATTAAGAGTTATTAGATTGAATTATTCCATGTCGTGACTTAGGAGCCGATTCTACTGAAAAATAGGCCAATGCTATGCAAAGGCTATATTATGTTACGTAGCATTTGCATATAAAATATTACTAAAAACTGTCAAATTGCTATATGTTTACTGTGCAGACATTTAACACATTAAATCAAACTTCACTCATATGATATTATGCCACATCACAAACATGCATTTTTTTTGGCGATTGTGCGTTTTCTAGGTTAGGTTTACTATCTTAAATGTCTGCTGATAAATCTATTTTGTCTCACAATCAGATTGAAAGAATTGCCGATATAGAAATCATAGTTAAAAAACGGAAATAGATTTTCTTTTAGTATAGCGAAGTTTTTTTTCTGTAAATAAAGAATATTAAGGGAATTAATCGACTTACGTTTATTACCTCATGAGCGCTTAATTAACAAATCGATACGAAATCGCATTTTATTTTATTATTTTTAGAGTCATTCGACACGGGCGGTTTACGTTGCGAGGAATATTTGAAGTAATGGCAAACATAAAGCGTGAAAAATAATTACACATAAAGTATACCTTTATGAGAAAAACGCAAATAAAAGAATGCGGAATAAACACGGCACACTTAAAAAGCGGCACCGTTTGTAGTTTCATATTATAATTTGATTGACTGTGGGTTTTTAATGTGACTCGGGTGCTTTACTAGTAGTAAATGATATTACTAATTATATGAGCATGGTAGAATAGCAATTAAGTTCAGTCAGTAAAATATAGAATTAATGTGAACGAATGTCTCGTGTCATAAACAGTATTCACTATTACAATTCTTTTTATTGTTTTTGAACAGGAATCAGAACGTGTGTCCTAGCTCCAGTTCGGCAAATTCGACTTAATGCGTCGGTTTTACAGATGGCAACACAAATAGTTGTCTTATGTCTGTATTATAAATTTTATTATTATAATTTCTGTAATGGTGCGAATAAGATAAGGGTTATTTCGCCTGGAACCATACTGCTATATATATTTTCAAATGGAAACCGATGTTACTACTGCTTGACAGCAGGCTTCTCGAAGCGAGATCGAACCCGAGGCTTCTGATTTAGGCAGTCGCTCTAGCCACTTACCCGCGAGTGAGCCCTCTTATACACTATTTTAAACCGTTCTATAAAATATTTTTTTATTTTTATTATTTTCTTATAAATTACAATCTGTCTAAATAGAAAGACATTGAGTAATTAGTTTGACAAATAACATAGAATTTTTATATAATGTACTAAATTATATTTTCTTAAATATTGGTATAATAAAGAAAAAAAAAGAAACTCAAATATATACATACAATTATGAACAAAGTACATTACACAGACTACATATACACATACACACACATACATACACAAACATATCATAGATAATATTGTAGAACAACTTATTATTGATTAAAGTGTTAGATCCATTAATTGCATTCTTTTTAGTCTTATATTATATGTGGTGTTGTAAAGACTTGCTATCACTTCATTTGGATGATGGTCAATTTTACTCATGAAGTTAAGGGCACTTTTTTAATTTCTTCACTGTTTGTGAGTGTATCGGTGTCTTGGCGAATTAACCATGTTGGTACATACCTTGGCGCGGATATTGCATGTCTGAGTATTTTATTTTGGAATCGTTGCACCCCGTAGATGGATGCCCTATATCCAAACTGGTTTGAGGATAACCTTGTATAATAAAATTTTATTATACATCGACAGTTTTGATCTAGTTTTATAGAATATGAGAGATTTTTTTAATTCTTAATATTATCATGAATATACATTAAAATTTTAACCCTTTTGCTACGAGGATGCTTTCCATAAGAGTGACGCTGCTATACGGACCAGCCGACCGACTACTATTTTTCTTTTTTCACTTTTAAGATTTTTCAATCATTATCAATGTAAATATATTAAATTTGTTTTTTTAAAGAACTTAAAATGACAATAAATATTAGAATTATCAATAGTTTAACTCACAGTGGTAAATTTTGAAGTAGAGGCGATGCTCATATCTTTTGTTATATTGATTTTTGCCTTAAGACAAATTGATAATACCAATTTCGAAATAAATGGCGTATAAAAAATTAACCAATAAATGTTTAAATTCGTAGTATTCAAAGCTTTGAACTTTCTGAAAATTTGTTTGAGATTATGTACTTTTACGATTTATATAAATTATCTTATAGAATTTTAATATAGAACCGTCAAAGAAAAAATCGAATATTTTTTTATTGGATTATTCAATTATATTTTCTAATTGTGAAAATGTTGTCGCTCGAGATATTATTGGTACGTAGCCACCATTATGAAGAAATTTAACATTATTCTATGCCTCTGCTGTGTTTTCATTTTAACAAACTATTTATTTATCCAAGGACGTCTGAAAAACAGTACTAAATATCTTTTATAGCTGATGTGTCCACTGATTCGTTCTGGTACATGGTTACAATATGTGCGCGCTAATATTTATGACGCTTTGCCTAGCATATACAAAAAATATCGTTAGCCAATAGAGGAAAATTCAAAAAATGCGCAGTTTTCATTATGCGCATGATAAATTTCGGCTTTGTCAATACATAAGCATGTATCAGATTTGATAAATGATACTCTGCTGAACTAATGGACGCCTCTCTTGATTGATTCGTCGTTATATTTCTCGCGACTCTGGCGTTTTTCACAAATGACAGGGATCACAGACCAAAACTAATTTATGACTAGCGTCGGGAAAAAACAATTTCCGCGAGTGCGAAATGTGGAAAAACTGTCTTGTTGTGTAACAGATAATTCAACCTATCTTTCTTTAGGTCGCGTACTTGTCGTGGTCTGAATTATATCGTGCAAGATAACACAAATGGACTAACGTTTTATTCACTTACTTTGTGCGGAACAATTTACTTTTTCTGAAAAAATATAATACAAACTAAGTAATTATAATTGATTAATATTTATGTGTGTTTTATTAATTACAATCTGTCTATATTACGGGGACATTCAGTAACCGTTTTGACATTTTTGTATATAGCTCGTTTTTTCAGTAGTTGTGCTATCTTAGTTGTAAAGCGTTGTGACTACTTGTGACTGCTTCATAGTATTTCTTGACTGCATATTTTTTA